CCGACCAGTGTAATGCACAATCTGTGTAACCCGAGATCGTATGGCGTAGGATTCGGTGGTGGTATACGACGTGTTGGGTAGTCGGTTCCTTCTCGGGCATAATAAAATAAAATATAATACCTTACACTGTTATAGATATCAGCAAAATTATCGGAGATTCGGAGGGGAAAATGAAAACCATGCGCAAACCCGTCGTCTTATTATTACATCACAGAACATTTTAAAATATGATTTAGCAGCTTATTGATATATAATGCTCAGTCGTAAAGTTATTCTTATGTAGGCACTAGGCAGTAGTAGTACAGTCACTTGGTAATATTATATCGCTATAAAATATTAAAATTGTAGTTTAACGTAACTTTATGATAATATATACTATGGATGACGTACCGTTTCCTTACGATGTGCAACTCGTATGTTTGCACCTGTTGATCTACCTGTTGTTGAGAGATCACGACGAGAAACACAATAATAATAAAAATAATAATAACATTATGACGTTTAAGTATGATTTTCACGCAGTTAACYACCGTCAGGATTATCTTTAATTGTTCTAATGGTTTTGCGTCTACAGGTTGATCGAGTCGGAGAAAAGGTCGTCGCAGCCATCGTTCTCCTCTTCCACCACCACGACCACAGCCATTTCAGCCGCCGCCGTCGCTGCCGCCGCTGTATCTCAACTTCATCATAACGTGCAGCCACCTTCGGATCCATTCATAGCGTCTGTGCTCCATTCCAGGCAGAATCCACGGCCCGGTCGTTTGCTCTTGGAAAACGTCAACAATCGGCCGCAGACCATGGACCGAGGCACGCAGGCAAACACGGACGGCGCCGCTGAGGTGATCACAGAAGCCCCAACCACCAGTAATGGTCCGACAAACAACGAACTGGTCAGTATGATAATTATTTTTTATTTTATTTATTATCATTATTATAAAAATATTACTAGGTAAAACAGTAAAGAAATTTAATTTTCTTMCAGTAATAATCTCTTAGAAAAGTATAATTTTAAAATTATAACCTACATATCAGATTAAAAAACGACTAGATAGCAATAGACTGTAACTAGGGGGAGGGTCCAAGGGGCCGGACCTCCCCACCAA